CTGAAGATGAGGAAGGAAATGATTATTTCACAAGGAACCATGCAGGTTATCTTCCACTACACATGCAATTTTTTAAACTGTACCAAGCCAACCACTGCCGTTTCCTGAACAACATTTTATACACACAACCTCTATTGCCACAGTTAAGAGATGCATGCCAGTTAGACAAAGAAAAGTTCTTTAACATCTCCAGTTTATTCATATTATAGCACTGGTAAATTCCTAAAGCACCAAGGCTTTTGTGCCAAAACAACTGTATGACAAGACTTCTTTGAAAAAAATTTGCAAATAAAAAAAATCAATTGCACGATTACCTATAACAAACTCTACTAAAGAGCTGTTTAACTGAGACAAATCACTGCTTATTATTTAAACCCTGAGTTCTTTTTCCTCACATTCAACATTGGCTTGTTTGTGAGAATTTCCTCAAAAAGCAGAGCTGTGTCTCTCCTTCCCCACTTTCAAAATCACCTTGGAAATACCCTATGTTTGTTGTTACTCCTAAAAAGAATTCTACCTTGACCAAATTCTGGCACAGAGTCTCGTGCTTCTGCTTCCTTTCAACAGCTGGAGAGGAAATCAGGCTCTGCTGTGACAGGACAGGTCAGGCACTGTGTGTGCAGCCCTTGTTATTTTCCTGGTTTCCCCGAAACTTTAAAGACTGTTCTTGGCTCCCCCTGATCCACGAATGTCATTAATACCCACTCTCCTCCAGAAACCAGGGCTGCATTTTAAAGCTGAAGTTATATATTCTGTATCAAACGCTCTATTCTGAAGGAAGAATTTCTCCCAGTGCTCTGGGCTCAGCAGTTTCCTCACATCTTCCAGCAGGCACTGTAGGGTAAGCAGTTCATAATACCTGTGCAGCCACACAAATATAAATCTTTAAAAGAAGCTGAACGCTGTGCCTGCAAAATGCATGGTGACATCAGATTCAGATCATCTACCAGGGCTAAGCTGCCTCAGCGGCGCTTGGTTTAATAAAAACTAAAGAAAATCAAGCTCAGAGACAGGAGGACTGCACAGATAGTGGGCACACCTGCCAAACAGTGCAGTGGGGGTGGCTGCCTGTTAACCTCAGCCACCATTCATACCAACATTATACTTCAAGATTGGCCCTTCAAGAATGGGTCCAGCGGAGGGCCACGAAGATGATCAGAAGGATGGAACACTTCCCCTGTGAGGACAGGCTGAGAGAGCTGGGGGTGTTCAGCCTGGAGAAGAGAAGGCTCCAGGGAGACCTTATAGCAGCCTACCAATATCTGAAGGGGGCTACAGGAGAGCTGGAGAAGGACTCTTCGTCAGGAAGAGCAGCAATAGGACAAGGGGTAATGGTTTTAAATTGGAAGAGGGGAGATTTAGATTAGATATTAGGAAGAAATTCTTTGACTGTGAGGGTGGTGAAGCACTGGAACAGGTTGCCCAGAGAAGCTGTGGCTGCCCCATCCCTGGAGGGGTTCAAGGCCAGATTGGAGGGGGCTTGGAGCAACCTGGTCTGGTGGAAGGTGTCCCCGCCCTGGGCAAGGGGGTTGGAATGAGATGATCTTTCCAGTCCCTTCCAACTCTAACCATTCTATGACTTTCAGAAGCCAGCGTAGCCGCCTGCCCAAAGGCTCACAATTTCCTTTTTCAAACAGCCCTTTCTCCGCTCCCCCCCTCACCCCCCGCAGGGCTGCCACCGCCCAGCACAAAAACAACCGAGGAGGTGCTTTTCCCGGCGGGGCAGCAGGTGAGCCGGGCACTACCGCCGGGGCCGGGCCGGCGGAGCTCCTCAGGGCGGCAACCTCCACCCCCATCCCGAAGGGCACCGACCGGCCCTGAGGAGAGCGCTCCCCGGCCCGGCCGCTCCGAAGGCACCTGCTCCCCCCCTCACAACTTCCTCCCCGGCCCGCCGAGCCCGGCCACCCCCTCCTGCCTCAGCGGTGGATCCCCCACACGAACCCGAGGAGGCGGTTGGGATCCCCCCCCCATCCCCGGTACCGTCCCATCCCCGGTACCGTCCCATCCCCGTCCCCTCAGGCGGCGCGTGCTCCCCTCACCATCTTGCGCGCGCGCAACCGTCCGACCGCCGCCGCCGCTCGCGCGCCAACAACGGAAACCGCCGCCCGCCGCCGCCGCTGCCTCCTCCTGACTGGGCTGCGCACCCCACTGCGCCTGCGCCGCCCAGACCCCGCCCACCGCATCTCCCCTAACCAATCAGCACCGCCCTCCCAGCCGGGGCGGGCAGCGCCCCCTCCCGCCTACGGGTAGCGGGAAGGTTCAAGGACCCGCCGGGAGGGGCCCACGTGCCCCTGGCGCCACAGGGCAGGGAGGGGTTAAGGGGCGCGTGCTGCGGCGCCACGTGACGCCCCGGCCTCGCACCCCCGCGGCGCCCCGCCCCGTTGCCATGGCGCCGAGGCCCCGCCCCCCCGTGGAGTCATGGCAACGGGGCGGGGCCGTGTGCAAGCGGCGGGCGCGTGTCCCCTCAGGGCCGGCCTGTCAGCGGCGGGAGAAATGGGCTCAGAATGGAGGGATTCGGGTTCGCGGCTCTTCAGGTGCCTTCAGGGCGACAAGGACTCGCTGGTTAAACCCTCATCCACACGCTGGGCCGGGATATCAGCCCGCAGGCCGGGCCAGGAGCAGGCCCAAGGGGGTTGACCGCTGTTAGACGAGGCCATTGAGGCCTACTAGTGACTTCACATCCTTTACTAAAACACCAGAGAATGCACACAGGAAAATTCCTTTTAAAAAAGGCTCAGCTGGGATGTCTCTCTCAATAAACGTGAGAAAAATTCGAAGCATGAGGTACAAAGGAGACTTGGTAAGTTCTGCTGCTTGTGGGACTTCTTCTTGACCTGGTTTGAGCCACACAGGAATTATTTCTCTTTCAGTAATTTTACTTGTCAGTAAGGTCTCTTTTAATGCTTGGGAAAATTGCATTTTTAGAAGACTCTAGTATCTGAATTTGTGAAAATATTTACTTTATTGCCAGCTCGGAGACGTGGGTTTCAAGGTCTCAGTGTGTTCAAGGTCACCAGGTGCGGGGTTGAGGAGAAGCAAGACCCAGGCACTTGACCTAAGCTGCTGACAGGGTTATTTCATACCATGAATGGCACATTCCAGAGAAATTATAAGGTTTGCAGAGGATTTCTCTCTCTCTCTCTCTCTCCCTCGATGGCTGGGATCCTGAGACCTCCTTGCCCCGGTGCCGGAGCCCTGAGCCCTCGCAGGGTCCCACACTGGCTGTCCCTGCGGGGAGTGCACAGCTCCCTGGGGTGGGATAGGGATAGACCTGGGGTATTTTATATCGGTATCAGGATCAATAGGGGTTCTTTAGTGTTATTAATGTTAACTATCATCCTATTAAATCTGTTTGCCCTCGTGTTTCCTTGGTTTTTTCCTGATTCCCCTTCCTGGGTGGGGTGGGGTCATGGGGTAAGAGAATAATTGTCTAAATGACAATAAATCATTGTGGGCTCCTCAAACCATAACACTTGTTTATACAAATTGAGCCCAGTTCTGGAAGTAAACCAGGATTTGGAGCTCACAAATCACAAATAGGAGCAGCAAGTGCAAGGCAGATGCTTCTCTTCCATAATAGGCTGTCGGCGGAGACGCTGGAGGAAATATCTGGCCTTTTTCGTGCCGTGACAGAGGAGAAAATGCCTTCTCAGTGATCCGGTAACAGAATTAAAAATACCATCACTCTGCCCGCTCGAAGAGAATGAAAGTAGACATGAAGGCTTCGCATCTCAGATAACGACCTCTTCCAAATTACATTAACGACTGAAACGCCGGATCTATAAGATGAAAATGGCAGATTTTCAGTGAGAGCTCCAATAAACACCGCGGGAGCTCACAGGGCTGCCGAGCAGCTGTTGAAGCACCCCTTAATCTCTGTGTGCTCTTAGATACAGCTCTTCCTTCGTGCAGTGTCATGCAGGCGGGGCGGTGATTCACGTCAGGATGCAAAACACATTTGTGTGGTGCTGTTTAATGCCATTTAGTGGCACGTAGCCCTAATGAATGCTATTTGGAATTAAAGGTCACGGGAGGAACCTGGCAGCATCCCCTCTTTCCTCGAGGTCGGCCTTCCAAGCGCCAGGGTTGCCGCAATGAAGGCAGGGAGGTGTTGGAAGGCGGGTTGTGCCGGCTGGGCACGTTCGCCTTGGTTTTCTTCTTGGTAATTAAACGCTCTGTGTTAAGCTGCCTGGAAGAAAGAGACCTGGGGGTTCTAGTTGACAAACGGCTGAATATGAGCCGGCATTGTGCCCAGGTGGCCAAGAAAGCCAATGGCATTCTGGCTTGTATCAAAAATAGTGTGACCAGCAGAAGTAGGGAGGTGATTGTGCCCCTGTACTCAGCACTGGTGAGGCCACACCTGGAGTGTTGTGTCCAGTTTTGGGCACCTCAATACAAGAGAGATATCGAGGTGCTGGAGCGAGTGCAGAGGAGGGCAACGAAGCTGGTGAGGGGGCTGGAAAACAAATCGTATGAGGAGTGGCTGAGGGAGTTGGGGCTGTTTAGTATGAGGAAGAGGAGGCTGAGGCGAGACCTTATCACTCTCTACAACTTCGTGAAAGGACACTGTAGAGAGGTTGGGGCTGGCCTCTTCTCACAGGTAATTAGTGACAGAACGAGAGGGAACGGCTTCAAGCTCCAACAGGGTAGGTTTAGATTGAACATTAGGAAAGAATTTTTCACCGAAAGAGTGATAGGGCATTGGAACAGGCTGCCCAGGGAGGTGGTGGAGTCACCATCCGTGGCTGTGTTTAAGGGCCATTTAGATACAGTGCTAAGGGACATGGTGTAGGGGAGGACTTTGTAGAGTAGGGTAGATGGTTGGACTCGATGATCCCAAGGGTCTCTTCCAACCTGAACGATTCTATGATTCTAAGTGCGGGCAGCTGGGGGTGGGGGGGGAACCCGCCGGCTGTCAATCAACCGCGTGGCCCTGCCCCTCCTCGCCCCGCCCACCTCCGGGCAAAGCTGAGGGCAAGGGCTTCCCCCGGCGGCTGCGCATGCGCCCCGCGGCTGGACTCGGTGCTGAGGCTGCCGGTGCGGCCTAGAGTTTCCCCCCCCCGCCGGGGGGCTCGGTCCCATGGCCGCCGTCTTCCTCGTCACGCTCTACGAGTACTCGCCGCTTTTCTACATCACCGTGGTGTTCGTCTGCTTCCTCGTCACCAGCGGCCTGGTGCTGGGCTGGTGAGTGCGGCGTCGTTCCTGCCCGGGGAGGCCTGTCTGGGGTAGTGGGGTTTGGCTGCCCCACACCGAGGGGTAGAGGGAGGTTTGGCGATGTAATGAGGTGGTGTGGCGTGGGAGGGGGGTAATGGGAGCTGGTACCCCGTTGGGAGTAAACTCTGGAGGTGTGGGGTGGCCCTGAGGTGAGACAGTGGGGATGGATGTGTGGGGCCTGGCAGTGGTCGGGGAAATGGGGTTGTGTTGAAGAAAGGAGGGTGGGGAGGGCTAGCACTGATTAGGGGAAGAGGGGCTGCTCCAGTAGAAGAGGATGATGAATTGTGGAGAAAACAGAGTTGCCAGGAGAGGACCTGACCCTGAGTGAGGGAGTGGGAGTCAGGAAGGGCTGCTTCAAGGGAAGTATTTGGCCCTGTTGGAGATGGACATCTCAGATCTTAGTGGTAGGTAAAATAAGCAGATAAAGTGAGAGTAAGGTGCCTGGTGTTAATGCTGTTTTGCAGCTCAATGTGCCAGGCTTTAAGGCAGGGTTGTTACTGAGGTGTAACAGGTGTACTGAGCTGATCCAGGACTGCTGCTGGGGCACCAGTCTGTTCCACTGCTTAAGCTTGGAGGAGAAGGGGGTGTTTCAGGTGAACCAAACGGGGTGCTGGGACTGGGATGGGAAAGAGCCTTAAATGACTGATCTACTGAAGTGTCTAGAGGGGTGCTGTGTGGAAGACCCCCTTTTTGTGTTTGAAAGGGTTCAACAGAGGTATCACAGTTCCCTTTTCATAAACAGGTCCTTGAATGTGTATACAAAGCACCGTTCTGTCTGTTTTTCTGCTGACTTGAGAGTGTCTGTAAATGTAAATACTGATACTTGCCAGGTGGAGAGCATTGATTAGCAATCAAAATATTTTATGTAGGAATTGTGGATACACCACACTTGTGTCGCTTCTGGAGAGAATAAAACTGAGTTATTGCATTTCCTCCTATTGGTTTAACATCAATACCTGTACTGCTGTGCTTCAGTGTTTGCCTTCCTTTGTCTCTTTTTGAATTACAGATGGTTTAGCTGTAGCTGCTTGTTCTCTTGGCAGCTTATAAATACTCTGCTTCACTTTTCCTTTAGTGCAGAGTCTTTCCCCTGTTCACATCACTTTGTTAGCTGCCGCTGGCTCAAACATGTGCCAGCTATTGCTTTCGGAGTGAAAGAAATGTATCTTTTGATCTTTTAGATACGCTTTGTGGGAACTTTTTGTTCTTGTTTTGCATTGCCTCCCCTAGTGCTGGGTAGGTGGTAGTGAAGGCAAGACTGGTCTTAGAATAGAATCATAGAATTTCCCAGGCCGGAAGGGACCTCCAAGGGTCATCTAGTCCGACCCCCCCGCAGTCAGCAGGGACACCCCCAACTAGACCAGGTTGCCCAGGGCCTCATCGAGCCTCTCCTTGAATATCTCCAGGGATGGGGCCTCAACCACCTCCCTGGGCAACCTGTTCCAGTGCTCCACTACCCTCACAGTAAAGAACCCCCTCCTGATCTCCAGTCTAAATCTGTTCCCCTCCAGCTTGAAGCCATTTCCCCTCGTCCTGTCACTACAGGCCTTTCTAAACAGGTTCTCCCCAGCCTTCCTGTAGGCTCCCTTCAGGTACTGGAAGGCTGCTATTAGGTCTCCCCGGAGCCTCCTCTTCTCCAGGCTGAACAACCCCAGCTCCCTCAGCCTGTCCTCGTAGCAGAGGTGCTCCATCCCCCTGATCATCCTTGTGGCCCTCCTCTGGACCCTCTCCATCAGGTCTATATCCTTCTTATATTGAGGGCTCCAGACCTGCACACAATACTCCAGGTGAGGTCTCACCAGTGCAGAGTAAAGTGGCAGAATCCCCTCTCTGGACCTGCTGGCAACGCTTCTTTTGATGCAGCCCAGGATGGGATTGGCCTTCTGGGCTGCAGCTGCCCACTGCCTGCTCATGTCCAGCTTCTCATCCACCAGAACCCCCAAGTCCCTTTCCTCAGGGCTGCTTTCCAACACCTCACCCCCTAGTTTGTATTGGTGGCGAGGATTGTTCCGGCCCAGGTGCAGAACCTTGCATTTGCTCTTGTTGAACCTCATGAGGTTCACCTGGGCCCACCTCTCCAGCCTGTCCAGGTCCTTTTGGATGACATCCCGTCCCTCTGGTGTATCGACAACACCACACAGCTTGGTATCGTCCGCAAACTTGCTGATGGTGCCTTTAATCTCCCTGTCTATATCATTGATAAAGATGTTAAACAGCACCGGTCCCAGCACGGACCCTTGAGGAACACCACTTATGACTGGTTTCCATCTGGACTTTGAGCCATTGAGTACTACCCTCTGGATGCAACCATCTAGCCAGTTCCTTATCCACTGAACAGTCCACCCATCAAATCCGTACCCCTCCAATTTGGCAATCAGGATGTTGTGGGGGACCGTGTTTTTATTGTCTTTTTGCTGGATGAAGCTCCGCCTCATTATTTACTTAGAAGAGAGTTGTTATCCTTTTCATAATTCTCCCTGCCCCACTGCACACTGATGGAATTATATTACCACCCATTGCTCTCCGCTTTTCCTTTTTCACTTCATCACTTCTTCAAAAATATTATCTTCACAAAAAATGATACTGAATCGTGATTCAAATAAATCTGCATGTATATTCGAAACCAGTGATCCTTTCTCAATTTAATGATTATTTATCTGTTTATAATAAATGCTTTGCAACCCCGTGCTATAAAATGTCTGCAATAGGTGTGCCAGAAGATCCCTCCATTTGCACACGTGTCTCTTGATGCTTTTTGGGCTACAGGGTGTGCAGAGGACCGCCTAGATGCATTTTTATTTCGGGATCAGAGATTCTAGGTGCATCTGCACTAGATATTGTGGCAATTTATGTAAATACATGCAAGCCATATTCAAACTAATTTGTTAAAGAACTGTTAGTCCAGGAGAAGCAGTAGCCAGGAGCTCAGCATATACTGGTAGGTGAGTGTGTGGCCAGTTGCTCAGAGATATTTCCTGCTGCCTTTGAACTCTGCTGTACTGTGGCCATATGACCAAGAGCCTCCAAGCAACTTCAGCACGTCTGCAGCTGCAGTTACAGTTTAAGTGCTCTTGATCTTACTTGTGAAAGCAGCTTGATCCTTTATTTGCTACACAGAGTACTACAATGCATATGGTGTCATATGAGTACATAATACTTGATATACTGCTGTAATGATACTTTGTTTCCCCCCATCATTTTCGGCATTAATTGTCAGCTTGCTTTATGGATGTGTTTGTGATGGTGTCAGTCAGCTTGAAAAACACCAACTGCTTAGGAATGTTAAATGTTTTCATTTGCAAAATCATGCGTTGATTTCATGAGCATCTGTTTTTATGGCCAGCCCTGGATGCCTGTGGTTCTGTTTGGAGAGTCAAAGTAGGTTACTGCTCCAGGTAGCTTTCTAGAGCCAGGCCAGTAGATGCTCTGGACATAGGAATGAAGTGGAATTTAAATTAGCTGAACGTGGCCCTGGGTGTTGTCTTTTTAGCTGGAGATGAACACTCGTATTAGGAGGAGCTATGGCCTTAGCACCTTTAGAGGTCCAGACTGCTCGTTGAGAAATTAACTCATAAACAAAACCATTGTTCAAAATAAATTCATTTCCCCCTGTACCAGGTAGTGATCTAGGCTGATAGACTATTAGATTGTAAAAGAAAAACTGTATTTTTACTGGTCCTTCATACGCTGAATACTACCTGAACGTTTACAGAAGCACTATACCTTATTGTTGAACAGAAAGGCCTTTCTCCCTTCAGCTGCTGCTAAAACTGTAATAGAGATTTTTTTCTATGGCTCCTTTTCATGTGATTATCCTGTTGCTTTTGACCAGCGAAGAAAGTTTCCAAAGAGCAGGGTTTTTTACTTCAGAATCGGCCAGATGGTATAAAACAGGAGGCATCTTTATGTAGTGCTGGAGAGATTAGCTCCATTGAGTATTGGATATTGAATAAGTGAAACAGCTGCTGCACCTGGTTTCTTTGTATGATGTTTAACTGGTGTACTTTATTACAGCCCCAGTGAAGTCAGTGTGGTTGTGTTTTACTTGCATTGGACAGAGATTTGACCCTCCATGCACACAAACTAAGTATGGCTGAGCGCCCTAGATTATATCATTGAAGAAATGCAAATGTTTCCATCAAAACCTAGCAAACCAAAGACATTTATCAAAGGTGGAGGAATGAGTATAGAGTATTTTCCACTGGCTCAATCAATCTCTTTCCTTTTTGGTGTATCTGTGACACTCAGGCAAGCAAGACGTTAAATGGTAAAGGCAAATATTTGTTAGACTGCCAGGAACAGGTTGTTGCTATTGAGAATGGCTTTGAGAATTTTTTCTTTAAGTAGTTTCCTCAACTTGAAAATCACTTTTGACTGATGCTTTTCCCTGTTAGTCTTTCAAAGGGCACCCCTCCAACACGAATCAATAGAAAGGAGCCCAATGTCAGTAAAAGCTCTGCTTTTCTTCTTCGTTTGACACACAGGAGGTGGAAAAGATTTTAAACCCAGGAAAAAGGAGCAGTTAAGCCATGAAATTGTCTGTTTGGCTCAGAGCTGTATTGTACATGAAATTACTTTAGCAATTTTCAAACTGATTACATTGAAGTTGGTAGTGCCCTTTTCAGCTTGAGTTATTGATATGAGACCCATCTTACTGTAACAGCTGCTATTTCAGTATACTAAATGGAAACAATTGATGCAGGGAAGAGCCTATGCTTCATGCCATTCAGTTTTCCAGCACCCGATATGCTGATGACTGCATAACCCAAAATTCAAAGCCATTAAAGAGGCCATCACTTCACCAGTACAGGTGGCAGCGACAAAAGCATAAATTGAGTAAAGCACACAGCCTGAGCTAATTAATAACTGTTTTCTAAAATGCATTAACAAAAGACTCCCACAGCCTCTCCCTGTTGCCTTACTAATGAGACAGGACTGGATTAATGCAGTTAAGAACATCTCTTCAGTCTCCAAAGTAGTCTTCTGATTGCATATCTGGGACAGTTTTTCTAGTTGGCTTTTGGTTATTGAAAGTTGTTATCACCTTAAAAAGTGAATTATTTTGAGCCAAGTGTAAAAGGAAGTCTGTTGTGGAGCTTGTTTTGCAGATCCTGATCTTGTGTAGTGATTCTTTTAAATGCCCCAGGCAATATGAAAATCTTGGGGTTTTTAATTGATGTCAGATCTCAAAATATTCTTCCTTGCTTTCTTCAATTTCTATTTTGATTTATAGAGTGTCTAAAATTTTAAATCTTTCCTGTGTTACCCTCTTAGGGTTAGTCTATCGCTTGGGCTAGCGTGCTGGCTTCGGCTTTGAAGGCGTCTTGGAGATTCAGCTTTGATTCAGAGTCTTGACTATTTTGCATTTCGTTTCTGGCTCAAAGCAGAGGCCTTACAGCCACTGATTTAATATCAGCATATTATTGTAATTGAGGTTTTTGTGGGAAATCAGGGGTGTTAGTCTGCCATAAAAACATCTCGCTGGCTGGAGTTACAGCTAGAAATGTTCAGGGCTGAGTGATTTACCCCAAGGTCTTCCTTTCGAGCACCCAGTCCATCAAGGCTGTTCCATCTTTGCAAGCAGTGATTATTTTTGGTCCTATGACAGGATGTGCAGAATGTTAATTGGGAGAAAGCTCTGGATAGCCGTTTACCACTAGAGGGCATTGACCATTCTCATTAATTTTATTCTCTTGCTGGAAACCTTGCAGGAGTAAAGTATTCCCCCTTTATAGACCTTCTGTATCACTGTGAAGACTCTGACCTTCTGCCACAAGAAGCTGGAGACAGCTTGGCAGGCTATTTTATGCACACATCCTAGCAGAGATTCTGCAAAGCCAAGCCAGCTCTGTTTGTTGTGCTATTTGCTATTTAGAGCTAAAGAAAAATTCAAATGTGTCAACACCAACACTTAACCCACTTGTTCTTCTTGTTTCCTGTCTCCTAGGTTTGGGTTGGGTGTTCCTGTTATTCTGAGAAACTCAGAAGAAACGGAATCGAGCACAAGAGTTTTGAAAAAGCGGATGAGACAAGTGAAGAATCCTTTTGGGTTAGAAATCCCTCATCCTGCTGCAGCTTCAGTAACAAGTTAGTGGGTTTCTGATGTCCTTGTTTTTTGTCAGTTTGGGTTCTGGAACTTAGTACAATGTTTTCTTCCTCTCCTTTTCCTTTATCAGAATTGCTCAGAAACATGCTTCCTCCCATCATTACAACAGAAATAATTTTCACACAGCTTACAAATGTGGTGCTTTTAAAAGTGAAATGTTTGGATATTTAAGTACAGTTTAGTTCTTATTAATGAAACACTTCCTGCTACAACAGATTTTTTTTTTAAGTAACAGAAACATTTGCAGATTACCAGCTACTGTGGGCGTTCTTGTAAACTTTGCAGAATTGTAGAATTCTATAGAATTAATTATAGAATATATGCTGCCCACCTAAATCTAAGTCCAGATCTCCAGTGGTGTTTGGAAGTGCACTACTTGTAATAAATAGATAAATAAAAATCTACCTCTCTTTCTATCTGTGCTTCAGTGAAACCTAAATTTAAATATCTACTCGGAGGATCAAAGTTCAAATAGTTCCTAAAATCCTCGAAATCACCCACATAGGAAGTGAAATTCATGCCCTCATATGTCACTGGGGAGTAGTAAGCAAGGCTGAGTATCTTCTGCCAGCACAGATGCGGAGCCTTCCTGTGAAAGAGAAAGGAGCTGCAGCTGTTTTATCCTTCCCCAGGAGTAAAAATCCCCTACACTCCCCCCCTCACCCTCCAAAAAAAAACCAAAACACAAAAAAACAGCAAACCCAACAACTTAGTCTTCAGGTAACTTGGATTTTTTCAGGAGGTTTGAGCACTTGAATTAGGTGGGACTTTCCAAGAGTTCTGCTCCTGTTTCTGCAAAGTGTTCAGAAGTTAATGGGTTGGGTACTAGATTTTTAGAAGAGAAATGGAGCACGTAGATCCTTTTTATCCTCCTCCTGCATGATCAAGAGGGCCTTAATCTTTGGGACCAGAGAGGGTGCTGTTGGCCAGTGATCCAATTAATACCATTATCTAAAGAAGGAATGGACTTTGGGCTAGGGGTTGTGTTCTTGGATCTGCCAGTGGGTGTGTAAAATGTTACCAGAAGTTAAAATTTACCCTTTGTAAAATGCACTTGCTACTTTTGTTAGCTTAATCAGCCATTCCTCATCTCCATGGACTTTCATAAGCATTAAATCTAGTCTAAATTCTTAGAAAGATCAGATTATAATGGTAAAAATTTGGGAGACTGAAGTTGTTTTCTGCCGCTTGCTCTTTAAGAACCTACACTTAGCAGTTCCTGAATTCCTACATATTGAGAGTTAATGAAATCCTTCTTTTCTTTCTACAAGGGGGTATAACACTGACACCTGATTGTCTGGAAGACTGTATTCTTACATGCTACTGGGGTTGCAGTGTTCAAAAACTCCATGAAGCGTTGCAGAAACATGTCTACTGCTTCAGAATAAAGACTCCTCAGGCATTAGAAGATGCTCTGTACAGCGAATACCTCTATCGACAACAGTACTTGTATCCTTTTTTTAACTTGTTTTGACAAAATATGCAAATTTGTTGGCACAAGGAGCGTTGAGACTTGGGAACACTCGGCAGTTTTTGGCACAATATATTTATGAACAAATATGATGAAAAATATTCTTTATGCATACGTCACATTTGTCTACAATTGCAGGGACACTGATTGTTTTCCTTGACACACATAAAGCATTAAAAAAAATGACAAGGAAGAAAAATATTGTCAGTTACCAGAAGATGCTCAAGTTGTCGATTTTGGCCCGGTGCCTAGATCTCGCTATCCATTGATAGCATTGTTGACGTTGGCTGATGAGGAAGACAGAGAAATATATGATATTGTAAGTACTATAAGAATGTATTTTAAGATCGCTATATTTAAGGTCTGACTGTTTCAGGAGATGGGCCTGAATAAAACAGTTTCCTTTCCCTGTCCCCTAAAATTTGGTCCTTTGTCACTGATGACTCCAGAACATGGCAGAAGAGAAAAGATAATTGTTATATAAAAATTATGTACACCATTCAAAAGATGTTTGTGACTTTTTTCAGAAAGCTCATATATGTAGAGATCTCTGTGGTAAGCCCTGTGGTCAGATGGACCAGGGTTGTGGTAGGTTAGTAAGCTATTACTCTGATTTTTCTGATCACATAAACCTGTGGTGGAGCTCTTGTACTGATCTGGTCTTTTGCATTGCTGTTGGCAAGGTAGGAGGAATTTTTTTTTTTTTAGTGTCTGGCACAGATATTTGAGCTGATTGCTGACTTGACTGTTAGGAACATAGAAATTACCTTTCTGCAACAGGCCCAAGTCTATGTAATGTAGGACATTGTCTCACAGTAGCCCCTCCAGGGCGTTTACTGGAAGGTGTGGAGGTCTTGCAGTGGACTGATGTGAGACAGTCAGCTCCCTGGAGAGGTCTCCTCCTGCTTTCTTCCAGTTGAAGCAGATTCAGCCTTGTCCCATGCAGTTCAATATTCCTTCTAAATTCTAAATTGACTGACTCTTTTTGGAATGATTTGGGACACACTTTAATCTCACATATTTTATTTGGTTGACAGTCTGATAGTACTAACTGCTTCAACAATAATAAATGACCTCAGAAGCAAAATGCCTAGATCCACTGAATGCTTTTCCATACATTTCGTTTGGAAATGGTTTGTGGTCACACCAGTGCCTAAGAAATCTGTTCCCTTTCCAGGTGATGCCTTGACTTCTTGTGACTTGACAGTAGGACTGCCTTCCTCCCTCCTTGCCCCAAGCTATTTCCCAGATTAGTACATTTATGTATGCTAAAAGTTCAGATTAGTTTATAAAGAGAATGTAAATTTCATATTTGAATGTGTTTGACATTAGCGTGGAGGTGAATTTGTCACACCGCTCTTTTGTTCCTTAAACTAGAAGAAAGGGATGGAAGGAGAGCGGGGGAGGTATTTTTCTCCTGGTTTTGGAGAAAAGTAACACAACTAGAATCTCTTAATAATACAGTCAAAGGAGTAACTCCACCTGAACTCCCTGCCAGGCAAATTGCATCTGTTGTTGTTGAAACAAACTTGTAAAATGTAGTGTGGAAAGAGATCTCTGCCCCTGTGGGGATGGTATTTCCACGAGGGATGATATGGTTTGTCACATCAGTGCATCAAGCTCCATCTTGAATTAATATGTGAGTCCATCCATCGCTATGGATGCTGTTCCACTATCTTTTTTTTTTTTTTTTTTTGGGGGCTCTGATTTTCATCCTAACTGTTTTTGTGGCCAGATCACACCCATTTGGTTTTTCCCTGTAATTTTCCTCTATCTCCAGAAAATTAGCATGACCATATAGGAGAGTTACAGAAATTATTTGAAGACTGGCAGGGCTAAAGTGGAAGAAAACTTAGGGCCTTTGTATAAAAAAATAAGATTGAGAGTAACTTGCTGATGGTGTACAAATATTTACAGAGAGAGAAAATACCTGATGCTCGAGGGGAAGGTCTTCTACAACCAACCTACAACAGCACAGCATTTCTGCTAGACTGTAGCAGAATATATTTCTGTATATATTTCTATACTACAGGACAGCATAACAGAGGAGACAGTAGCTTGAAGATAGAGATGCTTGTGTTAGGAACTGGTCCCACTCACAGTTAAAAAGTTGCCTAGGTGTCTGAACAAACTATGACTTGAGGACTTGGGTTGTCATTGACAAAGCACTTATGGTGGGATGACATAATACAAATACACTGAGATCCATTAACATTTAAACTCTTATTATCAAAACTCAAAATCTATCATTTTAATGGAGATTTAATAGCTTCCAGATTGCAAAACAAAGCTAATAGTGGTGTGGGGGGCCTTGGGAGGCATTGTGATTTAGAAAAGACCTTATTGCCAAAGAATAGTAAATTCAGTTGGTATAAATGCATAGGTACATATGTATTTAAACTCTGCATGTCACTAGCCATGTAGTGGGTTTTGAAGTGCAAGACTGATTTGCCTTTAAATTTTTTTTTTCAAACAAAACAGTTTTCTTCTATATTTCATTTTTCTTTTGACAGCTTCTGGGAACTACAATAATATTGAATTTCACTTTCTTTTTCTCTTGCTTTTTAGAGGCTATTACATCATTTGGGCAGGGTGAGAAGGGTTAGGCACAGCATGCAAGCTTGGAGGGCTTTTGTTCTCCGAAAAGTGACTCTGAAGTCAGCCTGTGGGGTCCTTTCAGAATCCTTTCCAGTGAAATTTGTCTTTTGCCTGTTCAGTTTACAAGCCAATCAACGACACTTCTAAATGCTTTTCAGAGTCTAAAAATTGTGGTTTTTTGGGAGGCAAGTGAGAGAATGTGCATGTCCTTCAGTGCTTTTTTGGTTTGGGGCCTGATTCCATTAGGTGAGAGCAGTCAGAGCGGGTCTCCACTGTGAACTGGCCATAGAAGTGCTCTGTGGAGAGCCAGGGCAGAAAGCTGAAGTGCTGTCTTCTGCCACATCCTGTTTTTACCTCGTCCAGCATGGTTTTTTGATCTGTGCTTGAAGTCAACATTGTTGAAGTCCTGATTGTCTAAAGAAATAAGCAGGTCAGAGTTTATAACAAAGTATGCAATCTTTCAAGCGAACTATTCTATATGAATCCTGTAACACAAAGAATGTTATTAAACATAGTTTTTCTTTTGGTAGATTTCAATGGTGGCTGTAATTCACATTCCTGATGAGAGCTACAGACTTTCCTGCAGAATATTATATCAGTATTTGCTTCTAGCTCAAGGCCAATACCATGATCTGAAGGTAAGACGCACACTGAGTCTTGTTTCATTTGGGCGACAGCATTAAGTTGAGCTTGTGAAGGCTTTCAGGAGCCAAAATTAGTATAAGGCTTTTATTTTATGCAAAGAACTGGGTAATAGTTAAAATTATTTTATAGTTCCAGCCAAAGTTACTGTACAGAAATATTTTATATGAAAATACTCAAGATTTCCTGGAGAAAATACTTGATTCCAGTCTAGGAGGCCTGGCTTGTATCCACTTATTAAAGCAGTAATAAGGAATTAACCAGCTGGGTCGAATGGTTCCTCTCTCCAGAACATTTGTTACCTTCTTATAGTCTCCCAAACCAGCACTTTATCCTTTATTGCCCTTCAGTTGGGAGACCCTCAGAAGAAACTTTGGTTTTTTAATTTCTTTTTACTGCAATAAATGCCCAAATGTAAGGAATCTGCCTAGCACATACCATTATAAGTTAAACCAACGTTTTAATTATTCCATTCCTGCGTGTTGTGGGACCGTCTTTGTCCTGTGTCTGTCAGGCAGTTGATGACATGATTCGGTGTGATTCACTTGTATATTACTGTGATAATAAAAATAACATCAGATATTGATAATGTAGAATTTGGGCCAAATTAATTCTATTGACTCGAGGAGCGTTCATTCAGAAACAGATTTGTCCAAAGAAATGTTTGTCCTGGCCATTTTTTGCTGACGTAGTTGATCCACGTAAACTTTCCTGTTGATTTCCTTAAGCTTTCTTTTCGTTGTGGTTACCGTTGTTGAAACAGTGCTTAAACTGAACAGAAATAACTGCGCAGCTACATTTTGTGTAGTTTTGTAGTGTGCTCTCTGTGGGAATCTTTGGCTGTGTAATAGTTTACTGGCTTTATTCAGGGACCATGCGCAGAAGAATTTGAGCTTCACATAAGACTAAAAGGAGTAGGGGATTTTAATACAAGCAAGAGCAGAATGTGTTGAGTAGATTTGCCAGCTCAGTGGACATATATTTTTGGTAGGAATGGATAGAAACATCCTTCCAGGCAGAGAGAATGTTCAGAAGCAGAAAGCTGAGCTCTTCAAAACCTGGGCAGTTCTGCTAAAGTTTGTGCATGTGCGTTGATTTGACTCATTTTATGCTTCTGAAATACTTTTAACTGCCAGGCAACTGTCTGGACTCTGGCAAAGAGTGAGTCTGGCACTATTTGTCCCAGTGGAAACCAGTGAATCTGACCCAGTGGAGCTTACATCACATGTATGCATACAGGTATCGGGGGAGAGTTTGTTGACTTCTAAATGTTTGTGTGTATGTGTATTTTAGCAACTCTTCATGTCTGCAAATAGTACCTCACCGTCTCCAAGCGATACGTCCCCTGGTGAGAGAAGCACTGACAGAAGCTTGCTAGAAAAGGCTGGACTGGCTGAAGATGAACCAGAATCTCATGAAGAAAACAGCAAGGACTGTGTTGTTTGCCAGAACGGGACAGTGAACTGGGTACTCCTGCCCTGCAGACATGCCTGCTTGTGTGATGGCTGCGTTAAGTATTTCCAGCAGTGTCCCATGTGTAGGCAGTTTGTTCAAGAATCTTTTCCACTTTGCAGCAAAAAGGAGCAAGATGAAGATGAATCGACCCGTGTCTTGCAAGATGTTCTCCCTGGAAGAGTTTTTTAATGGGGAGGAAAAAAAAAAAATAGTAGAAGAACTGGGTTGTACGCCCCGAGCTTAAATGTAAAAAAACAGACTGTTTATGGGAGGATATGTAGCATTAATTTATATGGTTTTGCTTTTTATTGTTAGGTAATTTTCAGCTTCCTTATTTGTCTTCGTTCCATATGCTTGCAGGAACACTGTGTCTATCCATGCAATGTGGACAGAAGAAGTGCGTAGGATATCTTTGAAGGATGTGATTTTATTTATAACTTCTTACTAGTTTTTCACGGAGTACTATTGGAGGCTATTTTGATTACTAAATTTAGAATCTCTACTAAAAAAAGAATAAAACTTGCACACAGCTCGTTCTATATTTATTGTATTTAAAATACTAGAGCGATATATCATTTTAACTCAGTGTAATTTAGAAACGTAGCACTTTACAGAACGTATCGAATGAAGGAAAGTAAATATTCCTCATTGTTAAAGTCGTGTGTATTTATTTTGTAGGTGAAGGCTGGACTGTGGCAGGAGCTGGGAGGTGAAGGCGTGATTCCGGGATACTGTTTCTGGCTGTTTGGAGAGATTGTGTGTGTGCATGCATGCGTGTGCGCGTGAGGGACCTCAGCCAAAGCCCCTTGGAACCACTGGAAGGGTTTGAGTTGATTATTCTTGGCTTGAACTAAACGTTGGTGACACTTTGAAGCCTCTGCCATGTCATCTTGAGACGCAGACTTTCAGTCTTGTTAGCAATGGCTGTAAGAACTTGCTCTCCATGCAAATGTTCGTTAATTACTCCGTAGAGTAGTTACTTGGGCAGTTTTGTGGTGCTATTCTTACACCAGAGTAGCCTGCTTTGGGAAATTTCCAACTCTTTTTACTTGCATTGTCAGCTTGGCTGCAAAGTTAACCATTTACCTTTTATCAATAGTCCCAGGGAATTTACTTACTCTAATGGAAGCTGAAGAATAGCAGAAAATTATTTATTTTTCCCTCCAATGTTGTAATGTCAAAAGCAATAAAAATGGCTGTTGAGAAGAGAAATTGTTGGTTTGCTTCTTGAGAGAGAGCTGAATTCTCCTGAAGAGAGACAGGCTGGGTGTCACATCTGCTTATATGAGAGAAAAATACAAATGCTCATTAGAACCTGTAGAAAACAGAGTAGTTGCTTTCTGTCCTCTTTCTTGTTCCTTTCCAGCTTTGCTGCACATCTAATTCCAGGATAGCTGCTCCATCTTGGGGAGAGGATGCCGTGCTCCAGGCCATTCAGCTGTGCTCTCCTGCAGCTCCTGCAATGCTGCTGTGCCCCTCCAAACCAGGGAAGGAAGCTTCCCCTACTCCAAGGTATTCTGTCTTCATCTTTCCATCATTCTGGTTTTTTGGCTGGTTTTGTTCTGCCATGCCCCTGCTTCCAAACTTCTGGCAATTTCCTCTGAGGAAAAGGTTTAGGTGCTGGTGGTGGAAAGAGTAATGCTTAGTTGTAAAGACAGAGGTTGGGAATTGATGCCTGTAGCCACAGATTTCCAGCCAGGCTGTTTGGAAGATAATTTATTTGGTCTACCTAAAGTGACCTTCCTTACCAGAGGCAACTCGGGAATAAACTGCTGGCCAAACCAGCCTTTTGTTTGCACTGTATATCAAACAGGAATTAAATACCTGGGTGTCCGTGGGGATTGCTCAGTGCTTTGAGAGAGCTTTGGAAGACAGATGTTTCTCTGTGGACGTCATCGTGGCAAAGAGGGGTGTATGTGCTGCACTTCAGGAGGCTGAGGAGAGCAGAGAAGAATGTAATAGCAGAAGGAATGAGTGCTGGTGGCAGCAAGGCCATACCTCAGCTGAGAGCACAATGCAGATGTGGAGAAACAACAGGGGGATGCAACGAAGCAGACCCAGAGCTGCCTGTATTAAGAGAGACTATAAAGACTGTAAATATCATACAGTGTCTTCACCTCCCAGGGTGAATCACAGAAGCATGATGAGGACTTGTCCTCCGTGTCACTACAGGCAATCCTCACTAGACCATCTAGACACATGTCTTGGTGCTAGTGAGAACATGTGTCACTACTGGTAATCCTCACCTAGACACATGTCTTGGTGCTAGTGAGAACATGAACATGCAAGAATGAGTGGGTGAAATCAGTTGTAAATATAAAATTGTGGTCTTGGGCTGAGTTTTGCTACCTTGGTTGCAGTGTGTGATGGAAGTAGCTGCTAAGTTCAGCCTCCTTGTCTGTGTCACTGGCCATGTTCTGCCATTAAAGGCGAGCAGCTGACGTGGTGGTGGTGGAACTAGTTACTCTTCAGGCTTCTCTTCATATCCTGTGTCCCTGATATGAAATGGAGAGCTGGTGTAAATTGTTCTAAGCCTCTGTGGGCTCTCAGAGTTAATATAAAACCCAAAGAGCTTAAGCCACAACCACAGTACTCAGAAGTATGGTTTAGCAATGATTTTTGTCAGTGTTAGGTGGATGGTTGGACTAGATGATCTAAAAGGTGCCTTCCAACCTAAACAATTCTATGATTCTATGAATAGCTGTTTCCATACAAACTTCTTATGCTACCAGCATGTGGGACGGTGGCTGTACAGATTGTTATTCCAGAGGAGCTCATTAACACTGCCCTGCTTCTAACCCAGAGTTGGGCACTACTTGATAGTTAGCGGGGACTTGGTTTGTCCATGTAGGTGATCAAAGAGGTGGTGTTTACTACTTGACCACAGCAGTAAACTCCCTGACATTAAATCAATTAATTAAAATTTCCCAACAAGACAGCGCGATCCAAGCTCGTGGGCTTGTTTAATCTCCAAGTGAAATGGTATTCAAGTAAACCCCGCAGAGAATTGCCTGGTCTGTCTCATCCTTCAGCCAATCGATGCCAGTATTAAATAATAATGGCAAACAGGATGTAGCCGTGCTGCACTGCCAGGCCCTGTATTTACCATTAACTCTGTCCCAGCTTTTCATTTGTTTCATGTTCTTTTAACAGCGTTTTCCAGAGGTGCTTCGTTGCTGTATCAGATCTAACAAGCTGCCCTGCTGGCCCAAATCAAAGACCTGGCTGAGAGTTATAAAAAGTACAGTGGCTGGCTTATTACGTTTGCCCTTCTTCTAAGAAGCCATCTCAAAATATAGATCAGGTGAGAAGTAAAAGGAGCAGCTCTAAAGCTGCCTTGTGTGTCCCCTGGTTGTCTTAAAACGGGGATTCAAGGCTCTAAGAGAGAAATAAAACCTTCCTGTGACCCACAAAAACACAGTATATTGACAGAGGCTGTTCTGCTCTGTTGTCCTGTTGTAATAGAGGTAATATAACATTCCTCTTCCGCTCATTATAGATGATGTTTATGGATTTGGTGACGTCAAGGATCCTACGCAGACTTCTGATAACAAGACTTGCTGCTTTTCAGCAGTGCTGGGGTATTAGAGATTTGCAATGATTTTTGCTGCAGGGGAGAGGTGGGAGGTTCCCCACCACTTGGCTTGGTTCATCAGCTGTAATTAGAGCTGAGGCTTTCAAATGAGTTGATCAAGCTGAGTGATGTTACTTAGGGATGTCCCAAGGTGCCTTTCCAAATGCCAGTGGACATCTTCCTTCTGTAGAGCAAGTTGTTCTGTTAGGATCTTCCTTCCTCCCTTCCTATCTGCCTGCTCCAAACAGTGGACAAATGCTAGGAAGGAGACAATTTGGGTCAATTGATCTTAAAACAGTCTTCCCATTCCCATAGGGAATTCGGAATTCCCGTAAGGCGCTCTGAAAACGGGCTGATGCCCTGACCCCTATTCCTGTAGGGGAATTAAGGGAAGGGAGGGTGTCAGCATCTCGTGTTTTGGTAGATCTGAGCAGATGAGAACCCACATACCTGTTTTTGTTCAGCTTTAGGATGAGTTTCTGAGTGAATCTGATTAAAATGTTTCATTTACTTGCTAACATCAAGCTTTAAACCATAAGTACGGTAAAAAGAGCCAGGAATTAGGGCCTGAGATTCTCCTGCTAGTTTGTGCCTTGCTTGGTCCCCCCCACCTGAGGTCTACCAGGTGGAGGACATCTGGGGCTGATGTGTGTAACTGGGAAGCCTCTGCAGTAACTGGCCACAGAGGGACTCAGGAAGTCTCTTCTGAACAGAGTGGAGTCACTTGGGCAGGTCCACACTTTGTTTCTGTATCGCTTTTACTCCCCCGTGTCCGTGAGCGATGCGAGTAGAGAGAGAGGAGCTTGTAGTGCAGCCGTGGTTATACCTGTGAAAAGGGGCTTCTGCTGCTCTGGTGCCGTAAATGTGTAGGAATGTGCGACACCTACATAAAGGCACCTCTGTCTGGATGCTGCTGCATCTGAGCTGGGAGAGCTCCTGCTTTTATTATGCCATCTCAGAACGGGAATGACTTAAAACAGTAAAAATACTATATGTAAACGTTGTCTTAAGACTAGATGAAGTCTTCAACAGAGTCTGGTGTCCGAAGTGAGGAGTCTCTTTTTCCAACAGTATTTTGAAAAGCAATGACAGATTATGAATTCATGCTGAGGTTACTAAGCCTTCACTAGGGTTCAGAGACACCCAAAAAATTCCTTTTACTCCTCCTTCTTAGACGCGTACTCCTCCGCCATGGAAAGGGCAGTACTGTGACATTTGTCGTGGTCGTGACATGATGTGTCTCTGGTCTTCACTACTACCTCTGCTGTACCTGGGTGCTCCCGAGGGTCGAGTGAATCCCACAATTGCTTCTGCGGGACCAGCAATAAATTATCTGGACACGTAGTTGTTACCTGTGTTTTATATCCTCAGTCTGCAGCATCCTGCTATCAGCAGTGGATTTGTACCTAGAAAGCTTTTCTAGGTTTTAGATGCCTCCTCCAGCTTTTTTGTCTTCATCAGATGAGGGTTTTTGGCGGTTCCTAATATTTTTTACTCTCCCATTGCGTAGCCACTTCACATCTAATATTTCTTGGCAGATTTTCCAATAGTAGCTTTAGTCAGGGGACTGGTGAGAAGTCTAATGCATCACTTAACTCTCTCATAGTGCTATTTATTTCGGTGTCTATCAGCTGCTTGTGAGCAATATTTTAACAAAGAGGCTAGAGGGAGGATTGCTAACTTGTGAATTATTTTGATAGTTGTTGTTGTTGTTGTTCTTTTTTTCTTTTAACTCTGCAGATGCTCTCAAGTTTGGAGGCTGTGAGACCACAGAGATCCATCGGGGTCACCGTACATCAATCTGCTGCCAGCAGAATTGACCATGAGATACAGATGTTCCTTCTTAGCTGGTCAATGCAGCACAGACACTGCTCGAAGCAATTCCATTTTGGTCTCCGGTTCCTGAGGGTCCTCGATTTCAAGGATTTCCCCTGGAGGGAAGGAGCCTGGACTGCCAGTTTAAAACACACCAGCCTGCAGGAAGCCTGGGGTGGGCTATTGCTGAGGATAATTACAGCAAGCGGGGAGCCCCGAGGGAGTCAGGCACTGTGTCTTCTCGTGTGGCAGCTCTGCTTGCCAAGGTTAGCAGACCCCTCTCTATGGCAGCACATCTCATTGATCAAAGTAAGAGCAGGGCAGCGATTTACAGCGTATGACAGCTGGAAAAGCAATGCTCTTCACCCGGCGCTGCTGTACGCAGAGACAGGATGGACAACCCAGCTGCTGCCTTTCTTCTGAACGCTGGATTCTTCCTGGGTGGTCAGTCCCAGACCCTGGCTGGAGTGGCCACAGCGTCATCCAACCCTCCTCTGCTAGGACAGCTTGAACAACACGAGAATTTACCTTTACCTTTTGCTGTAGGACCAAAAGAAAGGTCGTTGCCAAGAGCTGGTGGATTCACGTTTAAGAACGGCTATAGCTTTCCCAGTCTCTCAATCTTTAAGTATCTTTCCAGGGATGTGAAGTCTGCCAGCTCCAGTTCTCCCTTTCAGCGCCAACTTCTGAACGAAAATGCCTCCAAGTCCAACAGCATTTAATGCTCTATCATTAACAAACCATTTGCTTTTTCCCAGTCCTGAAAAAGGTATTCTATAACATAAAGGACTCTTGACTCTGACATGTTTTGATGGGATCATTT